GTCATTAAACGTAACGGGAGAAAGTGACCAATGGGAAATATGAATAGTTCCAGAATATACCTGAACATTGGACAAGAAATAGTTGAATATTAACATAGTCGCTAAATTATGAACTTAGTCTCGCAGAATGCCAGAACTAAATCCAAGATAGAGCAGCTCTATAGATTATTAAAGACGAGACGTGATACTATATATTCCCATAATAAAATATCCAATATTTACTGTTTTCTAAAATTTTAAACGTCGGGCCACGAACTTTTGGTACGCCCTAAGTATGCTTTTTTTTGTATTCATTGAATATTTATTCTTTTGTACGATACCAGTAGCTTATATTAAAAGACACACGACTATCTTACAATTATTTCCAATCGTCATAATTTTACACTTCATTTTAAATAATATGTGTTAAATTAAATATTCTTTAATATGTTTTATAACTGGTTTCCTTCTAGATCATTTTTATTCGTTGAACATATTGTATTCGAAATCGATAATCTCTTATTATCAAGAATTTGAAAATATTGTCATCAGCCTTGTTTCAATTCTATAGGACTAATATGAACAATCGATGCTTGTTTTGCTCTAAATGGGCAACAACAGCCTGCTGCTTAGACTGTCACGAAATAAACCGATCTGCAATGTTCGAGACTCTTTTAGCATTACTTGGTAAGGCATCTTTCACCAATGATTACTATAACCAAATCAAGATTATTTCTCAGCAGATTGAAACTGTACGTTAAACACAAATACTTTAAGTCATATTCTATTCTGTCAATTTAGCTGGATTGACTTATGACACCTGTTTGATTCACACCCATCACCCATTTCAATACAGCTGTTCATAAAATAGATCAAGAAGCGAAAGTATATCTTCAAAAAGCTTCTTCAGACGTTCAAAATATGGTCCCCATTGAGGTCCTTGGAAATGGTAATTGTCTCTATAACTCAGTTATATTTTTAAGTGGGACTACAGTTCTGACACCTAGCGAATTACGAGGTACGTACTTCAATACTAATATTCCATTCTTTTACTGAGCTTTTTCTAGTCCGAACTTTAATTGAACTGGTCAAACACGAAATTTTGTATAGCAATCGTTTTGCGAATATTGTCGGACCACTCAATGAAGCGATAAAAAACATTGCCCGCAATTTTTCATTCTCAGAACTTTATGAAATTGCGGCATTGAGCAATGTTCTCAACTGCAACATACGGAGTATATATCCCAAAATTGATTATCAGTCTGATCTAAACATCATGAATACTACTTTGAAGCATACTCAATACAGTATTTCGTCCAAAACAATTTCTATATTTTGGACACATACTCAAAACGAAATATGTGCACGTAGAAGTAATGCTGCTAACTGGACGCCTAATCATTTCGTACTACTTTTGCTTCCGTCGAACAGTTCTCAGTATCAAAATGAACTGACTAAACCGAAAGTCACTGGTTCACTTTCGGTAAGTTCTAGCTTATAGTAAAAAGCTTTTACAGAAAGAAACACATACTTTCACTTACAGACACCAACTAAATCAACAACAAAGAATAACATGCTGACACAAGTTTGCACCCCGCAGTTCGATAGAGAAGTTGAAGAAACTCAACCATTTCAAACGGCATCGACAGTTTCCACGGCAACCCAGGAAATCGCAACAACTCCTCGGACTAAACGTCGACAACTATCAATGGAGAATTATACCTACTTTGAGAACACACATATTGACAAGAAGCAAATACAAGCTCGTAAAAGAATGGCTGCTAAACGAGCTGAACCTACACCAGAAGAAGCCGAAAGACAGGGGATACTAGCAAGAGAAAGAGTGCTGCTAGAAGAGCTACCTTTACAACGGAACAAGCTGAACGAGAGCGTGCTCTTGCTCGAGAAAGAAGTACATCCAGAAGAGCTACCGTGACGCTACAAGAAATCGAACAACAACGATCAGTTACCCGCGAAAGAAATGGGACTAGAAGAGCTGCTCTTACACCGAAAGAAGTTGAAGAACAACGAACACTTGCTCGTGAAAGAAATGCTGCTACACGAGCTACTCTTACTCCGAAAGAAGTTAAAGAACAACGGACACTTACTCGTGAAAGAAATGCTGCTAGACGAGCTGCTCTTACACCGAAAGAAGTTCAACGACAGCGTGAACTGGCTGCTGAGAGAACTATGGTCATACGAGCTACTGCGTCTCCGAAAGTGGCTGAAGAACAACGTGTGCTAGCACGCAAGAGAAGTGCCACAAGGCGAGCTAATTATACGACGGAAGAAGCTGAACAACAACGAGCATTGGCCCGCAACAGAAGTCGTCTGCAAAGTAATATGACGCAAAAACATGTAGCAAAGAAAAAAGAAACAAGTAGAAATGCTGAAGTTGAATGGCCGAAACCTGCTGATATGGAATGCAAGACTAACTGCTTGAAAAAATTCATTCAACAGATGTCCATGAATTCTCTAGCGGAAGGTGTATGTGGGATATGCAACATTCGTTGCTACAAACGTGGCCTACGACGTGTACCTTTGAAAAAAAATTCCATCGATTGAATTGCTTAGAACACATGATGATCTTCGCAGTATAATTCCTGGTATACAGCAAACGAAGAACTTGCATTCAAATGAAAAGTACAATATAAATCACGATCTTGATTTTCCAACGTTTGGAGATGAAAGAGAAACAGGTTCATACTTTCCTTAGTTAAAGCTACGAAATTAATTCAAATGTTTTCGTTACAGATAGCAATGAGCAATCGTCAATGAAGAACTTATCATTCACTTGTATAAACAATGTAGTTTTTTATGAACGAGGACTACATTACAGTTTGGATGAAAAGAAACATTCTTTGGTACACTGTGATATTTGTACGGAATGCTGGTCTTCTTTGGCAAAAGAAAAAATACCGAAGTTTTCAGTTGCTAACAAAGTATGGATGGGTGATGTACCAAGGGAACTACAAGACCTAACCATTCCTGAGCAAAGACTCATTGCTATTTACCGACATAACAGTTGCATTGTGGAACTGCATTCTTCTTTTCATGCAACAGCCACAGCGCAATCAGCCATAAAAGGCAACTGCATAAGTTTTCCACAAGATGTTGTTAACATTGCTGCCACATTGCCATTAGAATTAGATGATCTATGTGCATCTTTAAAAATCATTTTTGTCGGATGTCGCACTTCAGAAAGAAAGCAATTAAAAAATATTCTGACCGTTCGAAAAAATAAGGTTTCGAGTGCACTTCAATGGCTCAGGCAAAATAACCCACTCTATCGAAGTGTAGTTATTAATCAGTCCACAATCGATAAGTTACCTGATGATGACGTGCCAGAGTGTTTATGAGCAACAATGCAAGTCTCCACCAATGTTGAAGCTTCTGAAAATGAAAGAGCGAGTTATATTCCTAATCTTCTCAATGTATCTGAATCCAACAATACGGCAGCTGTACCATTGATTCCAAGGTAATATGGAAAAAAGATCCTCATATCTTTGAGTACTATTATTTGTGTTATAGTGCTGTTTTAGATGTTAACGGCATCAATATTTCTTCTGATGACGTCGCTGAGCATTTATTAGAGCGAATGAAAGCGCAAACAACAGATAAAACACGTAAAACTGATCTTGGGGAACATGTCCCAGGAGATCCCGTGTACATGATTCCTCGTGGTAACAAACCGGTCAATGAATATTCTAATCCAAATCTATTATTGGGCATATTTCCAACGCTTTTTCCATATGGATGTGGTGCAGTTGAAGATTTCTCTCGACCAGTCAAAATCGATTTTCGTGAGCATGTTCGATATCTTCTTTCGCTAGGAGATTGCCGTTTTGAAGAACACTACTCATTCATATTTGTCGTGCTCAATATCTTACAACGTCGCGCTGCATGCTTTCACGCCCATTTAATGACATCAAGACCATACTTTCAACAATCTGCCGAAATCCTAGAATCATTGAGTTCTGCAGATATAGCAAAAGCTCTTCTTAATATCTCAAAAGGAACATATTCAAAAGTTACCGACCAAAGAATAAATACGCTTATGAAGCACATCAGAGTTGTTAGCGGTCATGTTATGGGTTCCGCTCACTCACGATCGACCCTTCGTACAAAAATTCACTCATTGTGTTTTAATATTGGTCTCCCAAGTCTTTTTGTAACAATCAATCCAGCTGACATACATAGCCCAGTGACACTTTATTTTGCAGGTGTCGATCTAAACCTTGACGAAGTTCTGCCAGAAGCATTGAGCGCAAGCTATGAACGTGCCAAAATCATCGCAACTCATCCAGCTGCTACTGAAAAATTTTTTAATTGTTTGATGAAAAGTATCTTGAAGTCTTTAGTGCTTGGTGGTGTACTTGGTCCTGTAAAGGCATACGTTGGCACTGTAGAGAATCAAGGGAGAGGATCGCTTCACTTACATCTTCTTATTTGGCTCAATCATGAGTTCACTCTAACGCCGTTAAAAGAAATGATTCAGAATGAAGACTTTCGTGAAAAATTACTTCAGTATTTAGAAGATATTGTAAAAGAAGATTTAGATCTATTTCGAGGTAATGCATGCAGTTCCGTTCAAATTTGTCATTTGAAGTATTCGCAACTTTGTGATTCAGGAAGTTTCATACACAGGGATGCTTTTTTGCTGCTGCAGTCTAAAAAAGAGCTTTCAAGAAACTTTCTGACGAGCACATGATGCGTTTACTTCAAATTGTCCATTCCTTCTAAATTTAGTAACTGCATTATGCCATTTATACTTTTATATTTATTATTCTTGAAGATCAAGATGAGGATGGAACAAATACGCAAGTGATAACTCACCATCAATTCGTGAGCTAATTCTTTTTATTATACTTTTAATTTTTTTTATGTTTTTATTTTAGAAGAAATTGAACCAGTAGAAAACGAAGTTGCTCCAGCTTGTTTACCAACGCCAAATCCTGTTCGTGATGACTTCCAACGAATGTTTCGCAAGGATATTGTGCGAATCGTCGAAACGTCTAATATTCATAAACATTCTGCAACGTGCTATAAATACTCGAAAGCAAAACCGGATGACTCGAAAACTTGTCGAATGCACATGCCACGTGTCCTCATAAAAAGTTCCAACATTGATGTCTCTACTGGCCAGACAACTATGCGTTGATCACATCCATGGATCAACAACTTCAATGAGTGGCTAATAAGTGCTTGCCGATTCAATATGGATATTAAATTTATCTGGACTGGTAATGATGCTAAAGCTCTAGTATATTATATAACTGATTACGTAACAAAATCAAGTCTGGCTTTCTATGATATGTTTGCTCTTGCACAACAAGGGATCCAATCCATCGAGCAGCAGCGATCCACAAACGGGACCGAAGATACTTTTGAAAAATCGTGCAAACTTGTGTTACGATATTACAATATGATTGCTTCACATCAGGAAGTTTCTGGTGTTCAAGTGGCGTCATACCTAATGAACTATGGTGACCATTACACTACACATACATTTAGAAACCTTTTTCTCATTTCGATTGAAAACTATCTGCAAACCGAACTAGTGAAAGCACAGCTAAGTGAAAAAAGATTTGATGAAGAGGAACCAGATGGTAAAGAGTTTTAAAATTATTGCACAGATAATAAACATGTGCTTTTTGTAGAGATGTTAACTCACTTTGATGAAGACCAAGAAGAAGTGGCCAAGGAAGCTGAAGAACAGTTTCTGTTGGAACCAACACAAACGAAAAACGGTAATAGTTACGTCATGGTGAATACTCGTCTTGACTATCAGCATCGATCAAAAGATCTAACTGCATTATGCCTGTATGATTTTGTCAGTCACTTTCACAAAAAGGTAATCGACAAAACAGATCGCCGTTTACTAAACGATACCAGTGGGTGTGAAGGTGAACGACTATGTACAGAAGCACAGTGGGCAACCAGGCGGACATGATCTCAAGTTCTATTTTCCAAAGTTCAAATATTGGAATGAATACATCTATGGTTAGTCTATCTTACCCTAAAACTACATTTCCAGAAATCAAGTCGAACCCTAGAAAAACCCATCGCCAAAAATGTCTTCATAAACCGGTAATTATCCGGAGATCATTTCTGTTATAAACTTATCAAAATATTTTAAAATGAAAAACTATCTGAAACGAATGATTAATCTATAAACTTCATTGTGTGAAAAAACTATTTCGATCGAAGTTACATATATATCACTTTTTGGATGAATGAATATCTGATTCCTTTATTGAAGAAAACAGCGAGTATATATACATAGGAGAGATACAATAGACGGACTAGAAAAGAAGACGAGAAGCTTCATCCGTCTGTTTAGAAAATGAATAACGGAAAGAATAAGACAATGGTCCTTGTTACTCAACAAAGACGTCAGTTAGCAAAAGTGAGTAACGCGAAAAAGAGCATACGTACAATAGATGAATAGAAAAAGAAAATAACAGGAACATATGTATAGTAGTTGAACTGAAGAGGGCAGAAGTGATGCACTATGTAACAATCGAACCAGAAATGGAGTAGAAAAAAAGCGATTTCTGAGCCGAAAGTAGGTCAAAAAATCGGTTACACCATATTTTGTAAACGCTCAACACAATTTACGTCTGATTGAGCTCAAACTTTCAGCAATTATTCTCCCATATGTGATTTATCGTTGGCCATAGCGCGATGTCATATCAGTGAACAGAAACAGAATTAGTGGTTTCCTAAAGAACCGGGTTTCTGCTCCGGAATCGTTAGTTTTACAAATACAGAGACATTTTTGCGCAAATCCAAGGTAATATTCGGAATTAGCTCGCCGAGCTGCATCGAATTATATATAACAGTAAATGTTTCTCGAAAAAAAAAGTCGGTTCCTGTGCTCGACAAGTTCTGAAAATCAGCCTGGCCGTATTTTGTAAACACTCAACACAATTTAGGTCCGATTTATCTCAAACGTTCACTGATTATTCTTCCACGTCTAGTTCATCGATGATCATAGCGCGACATCGCATCGATGAACATAGCCGGCGCTATTAGTCTCCCAAAAGCCAAGGTTTTTGCCCCCAAGTCCCTATTTTTATGAACAGGGCATCATTTTATTGCAGAACCAAGGTGATATTCGGAATCAGCTCATCAAGCTGCATCTAAGCATATGTAATAAAAAGCATTTCTTTGAAAAAAATGTTGACCTCTATATAAAAGAAGTTCAAAAAAACGAGTCATATCGTAATTTGTGAGCGCTACAAAGAGTTCTCATGCAACTGAGCTCAGCTCTTTACTAACTGTGTTCATCTATGTTAATTTTTCGTTAACTATGTACACCGTATCGCATCAGCGACCATATACTAGGCTAGGGATTTCGAAAAAACCCTGGCTTTTGACCCCAATTCCTTTTTTCCCCCAAAATCCATTTTTTAATTCTGAAAATAACATCTTGCCGAGAAATCAAGGCGATTTTCGCAATCAGCGCGTAAAACTACGTCGAATGGTGTGTGGCACAATATATTTTCTAACAAAAAGTTTTTTCGAAAACTTTGACAAAGGTTCCCCACAGGTGATTTTTACGAAAAAAACTTTTTTTCCAGAAAATGTTTTATTTTCTTAAAGATGATTTTCTAGGCGATACATAACCACTTCTGAGCAATAAAAACCCGTTTCACAGCAGGAAAGTTACATGTCCGCCTGCTGTACGAAAGTTGCCCACTGTGAGAAGGGACAAAGATGAATGAACGACACACCTTTGCAAATGCACATCCACAATCATCATCACATATCATTATTAAACGCTCTACTCCAATTGTGCCAGTTCTTCTTGGCCCTCAAATACCTCGTCATGAGCGAGAAGAAACACGCGAGCGTTATTGCAGTGCATTGCTAACTTTATTTGTGCCATGGAGGTCGGTACACGACCTATGTGCACTGAATCAGACATGGTCCGAAGCACTGGAAACTCGAAAACTATCGATCTCTACCAGTGTGTTCAAGATTATTGAAAATATACAACTTTTGCATGAATGTAAAAATGATCGAGACAAACACCTCCATCAAATTATTGCAGAAGCACAAATTGATAGCAAAATTGATCCTATGCTTATTCCCAGCTGCTATGAAGAAGATGAAAATAATCCGGAAGACGACTCAATAGAACTCTTACAAATGCTCTCGTTGATAAATGAAACTATCACTAAAGCTTATTCTGCATCTCTTAGTAACCATGAACAACGTTATCTATGCGATGCGTTGACAGCAATTGATAACACGGACAGATTTGCATCACTAAATGGTGAGTTTATTTCTATTCAATGCCAATAATATTCAGTTCTATTTAGACTACAAAAATATATTGAATAAAAATGGCCACCGCATCGTAGATGATTTGAACAGATTTGTAATAGCTCATTCGCATCATACAAGAATGATTAAAGAATGGAAACGTGACATTGAAACTAGAAGAGATCAAACAAGAAGCTATTTAATTTCAGGTGAAGACACTTTGGAGGTACGAGATGATGACGTGCAGGTTGAAGTCGTAACTTCTGAAATACCTACAAGTCCATTTAAAGCACAAATTGCCGTTGTACCACCTGTAACTGCATCTATTGCAGTTTCTTTCCCAACCAAATCAGATGTGATCAAGAAATTCACACTGAATGATCAGCAGAAGTTTGCTTTTATGATTGTTACTAGTCACCTAGATGGCGATAACCAATTTCACACCGGTATATTTTTCGATTTTCTATTTATCAAGTGTCATTGCCCATAATGATTTAGGTACTGTTGACAACCAGGTACTGATGTGCATACCTGGTTGTGGCGGTACTGGAAAATTACAATTGATTCGTGCAATCACGAATTATTTCCAAATGATGAACAGAGGCAAAATGCTGCGTAAACTGGCACCAACATCTATAGCAGCGGCAGAAGTTGATGGATTAACAATCCATTCATTTTTAGGTGAAGCTCGCAAAAACTTCAAAAAGAGACAAACAAGAACATTTAGGTCCGGCGACATAAAATTGGAAAACGAGTGGCGTCATGTGAAGTACTTAATCATCGATGAGATGAGTCTGGTAGAACTGAGCCTCTTAGCTCGACTCAATCGAATAGTGAAAACAGCGAAACACATCAATACAGATGCTCCTTTTTGGTGGAGTAAATGTCTTTTTTTTGGCGACTATCTACAATATTCTCCGGTGTTGGATAAGCCCCTTTACCATAGCTGCTCCTCTTCTCAGCCATACACTGAATGTCAAATAGACATGCAATGTGTGCAGAACGTGATATGCCAAATTAATTGTGTTGTCAAATTGAACCAGCAAATGCGAACCGAAGATAAACGCTATTTGGAACTTTTACACAGATTAAGAGATGGGAAATCAACAATCGAAGACTATCAACTTCTTTGTACACGAATTATTGGAACTCCCAATTTGAAGGCATCTTTGCAACAGGATCCATGGAGCGAAGTATGTTCGATCGGATGTTTTCACATTTAAACATATATTTTAAGATAGGCTTCTATACTGGTTTTTCGAAACACACTTCGAACTCAAATAAACAATAGAGGCGTGCTGAATAAACCATTGAAGATGGGGCTTAGACCGATCGTTTGTGTTGCTCAAGATTACTTAGGGTGTACCAAAAGTTCTGATCACGACGTTACATAGCCATATAGTAAGCTTAAAAAAAACTTTCTTTCTATATAGTCTAATAGAGAAAAGAGTGCTCTATTTTGCTATGCTATTTGATCATACTTCAAATAATAATATGATAATAAATTTTTGATAACACTTTTTTTTTTGTTATCATTTGTGCTCATAGTACTAGATCACAAAGGATGAGGCNAGAATAGTCTAAATCTGGTTGATGATGTCATTCAATGCCTTTTCTGTTGCCATTCTTCCTCCTTTTACTAGGAAAACCATACTTATTGCTCTCTGACCTTTAAATCATGTCGTTGGAGTCTAAGAGAAAGCTGCACAAATCTGGATTAAAACTGTATCTATAAGGTGTGGGTGTGAGTGTGGGTGCGTGTGGGTAGGTATTTGGGTGTGGGTGTGCGTGCGAGTATAGTTTATCTGTTACCCACACCCACACCCTTTATTTTTCAGACGTCGATCTAGACCTTGACAAGGTTCTGCCAGAAGCGTTGGGCACTAGTTATGTACGTGCCAAAATCATCACAACTCATCCAATTGCCGCTTAAAAATTCTTTGATTGTTTGATAAAAAGCGTCTTGAACTCTTTGGTGCTTGGCGGTGTACTTGGTTCTGTAAAGGTATACTTTGGCACTATGGAGAACCAAGGCAGAGTATTGCTTCACTTACATCTTCCTATTTGGTTTAATCATGAGTTCCCTCCAGCACAGTTACTCAAGTATTTAGAAGATATTGTAAAAGAAGATTTAGATCTATTTCGAGATAATACATACACTGCAATGTTCGAGTTTGTGATTTGAAATATTCGCATTTGTGTATCTGAGGGAATTTTATACGCTGACGATGCTTTGTCGTTGTTTTAGCTTAGAGACGAGGTTCCAAGAAACTCTAGAGAACACATAATGCATTTACTTCAAATTTCCAATTTAAGTCAATCCTAATAATTGAATTATAGTATATTTACTTGTATATTTGATCCTTATTTTTAAAGACGAAATTGAAGATCTGACAAGTTCAACAAGTAATTATGATGCATCGAATCGTGAGCTTATTACTTTTTCCTATATTTTAGCTCTCATTTTTGTCATTATTCTAGAAGAAGTTGAACCAGCAGCAAATGAAGTTGTTCCCGCTTGTTTACCAACACCGAATCCTGCGTTCTATGAGTTTCCACAAATGTTTCGCAAAGATATTGTGCTACTTGTTGAAACGTGCTACAAATACTCGAAAGGAAAGTCCAATGGTTCTAAAACTTGTCGAATGCGTGTGCCACGTATGCTCGTGAAGACTTCCAACATCGATCCATCTGCAGATCAGATAACTATGCGTCGATCACATCCATGGGTCAACAACTTCAATGAATGGATCATAAGTGCTGGCCGATCCAATATGGATATAAAATTTATCTGGACTGGGGATGATGTTCAAGCTCTAGTGTATTATATAACTGATTATGTAACGAAAAATCAAGTCTGGCTTTCTACGGTATGTTTGCTCTTGTACAACAAGGAATCAAATCTATTGAGCAGCACCAATCTTTCAACGGGCCGACAGCGCTGTTGAAAAATCGGGTAAACTTGTGCTACAGTGCTATAATATGATTGCTTCATACCTAATGAACTATGGTGATCATTATGCTACACATACATTTAGAAATCTTTTTCTCATCTTGATTGAAAATTATCTGCAAACAGAACAAATAAAGGTACGGTTAAGTGAAAAAAATATTGGTGAAGAGCAACCAAATGGTAACAAGTTCTACAATGATTACACAAATATTAAATATTCGATTTTTGTAGAGTTGTCAATTCCCTTCTATGAAGACGAAGAAGATAAGGCAAAAGAAACTGAAGAAGAGTTTCTTTTGGAGCCAACACAAACGAAAAACGGTAATCAGTATGTTATGGTGAATACTCGCCTTGATTATCAGCATCGCCCAAAAGATCTAACTGAATTATGCCTATATGACTTTGTCAGCCATTTTCATAAGAAGGTGATTGACAAATCAGATCGCCATTTACTAAAGAATGCCAATGGGTATGAAGGTGAACGACTACATACGGAAGGTACAAAAATGAATGAACGACACACCTTTGAAAGTGTACATCCACAATCATCATCACATATAATCATTAAACACACCACTCCAGTTGTATCAGTTCTTCTTGGTCCTCAAATACTCCGTCGCGAACGAGAAGAAACACACCAGCGTTATTGTCGTGTATTACTAACTTTATTCGTGCTATGGAGATCAGTGCATGATCTTTGTGCAGTGAATCAAACATGGTTTGAGGCGTTCGAAATTCGAAAACAATTGATTTCCTCCAGCTCAGTCAAAATCATAGAAAATATACAACTCTTGCATGAATGTAAGCATGATCGAGATGAGCATCTTCATCAAGTTCTTGGAGAAGCACAAAATGATAGCAAAATCGATCCTGTTCTGATCTCTAACTGCTCTGAGAAAGATCAAAATAGTGAAGAAGACGATTCTGAACAACTTTTGCAAATGCTCTCCTTCGTAAATGAGACTACCACCAATCCATATTACGCGTCCACCGGCAACCAAGAGCAGCGTTATCTCAATGATGCATTACAGGCAATTGATAACACAGATAGATTTGCACTGCTCAATAGTGAGTTCATTGGTGTTGTATTTTGATAATATGTTGTTTTATTTAGACCACAGAAACATATTGAACCAAAATAGCTATCATATCGTAGACGATTTCAACACATTCGTGGTAGATCATTCACATCATGCAGCAATGATTAAAGAGTGGAAACGCGATATTGAAACTAGAAGAGATAACGCTAGATTTTCTTTAATTTCAGGTGAAGATACCTTAGAGGTACGAGATAATGAGATGCAGATTGAAGTCGTAACTGCTGAAATACCAACAAGTCCATATAAAGCAAAACTACTATGGTACCACCTGTGACTGCAACTATAGCAGTGTCATTTTCAACGAAACCTGACACCATCAAACAATTCACACTAAATAGTCAGCAAAAATATGTTTTCATGATTGTTACTAGTCATCTAGATGACGAGAATCAACTTCATACAGGTATATATTATTCGATTTTCTATTAATTAAATGTCATTGGCCATAATTATTTCGACACCAGCGATAATCAGTTACTGATGTGCGTATCTGGTTGTGGTGGTACTGGAAAATCTCAATTGATTCGTGCAATCATCAAGTATTTTCAAGTCACGAAGAGACTCAAAACGCTGCGTAAACTGACACCAACATCTATAGCAGCGGCAGAGATTGATGGGCCGACTATTCATTCATTTTTAGGTGAGAGTCGCAAAAATTACAAAAAAAGTAAATACAAACATTCAGACCTGGCAACACAGTTTGGAAAAATGAATGGTGTCACGTTAAATACTTGATAATTGATGAGATGAGTATGGTAGGACTTAGTCTATTATGTCGACTTAATCGAATAGTGAAAACGGCAAAGCATATAAATTCGGATGCTCCTTTTGGTGATGTAAAGTTATATCACAAATTAATTGCGTTGTTGAATTAAGCCAACAAATGCGAACTGAAAACGTGCGATATTTGGAACTCTTAAACAGATTGAGAAAAGGACAGTCAACTATTGAGGATTATAAACTTCTTTGTACACGGGTCATCGGAACTCCAAATCTTCAAGCATCTTTACAACAGAAGTCATGGAAAGAAGTATGTCTATCCAGTCCTTTCTATATGTCATCAAATTTTCTTTTATAGGCTCCAATACTCGTTTTTCGGAACGCACTTCGTACTCAAATTAACAGTAGAGCCGTGCTGAATAAAGCAATGGAGATGGCGGTTAGGCCGATCGTTTGCCTTACTCAAAATTACGTTAAAGGAACAAGGATTGAAGATTCACAATTACGCAAAGCGATTCTCGAACTACCTGACAGTAAAACGGAGCATCTTCCAGGCTACTTACCTCTCGTTCCAGGTATGCCCATTTTACTAAAAGAAAACGTTGCGACTGAACTTGGACTCTGCAATGGTACGCGTGGTATATTTCGTCAGCTTGTATATGATGAATTGAGTGACAACATTCAATTCGACAAAACAGTTTTTCCAAAGCATACTAAGTTTATAACACAACCAAAATATGCTTTGGTAGAGTTCTTGAGCTACAAACAAAAATAATTCCGGTCGCTGTCAGTGAAAAAACGTTTGTTTTTTATATCAAGGAGCTTCTTCCAGAAACTCTGTCAAAAATTGCCAAAGTGACAAAACGAACAACAAAAATTTCGATCAAGCGCAATGCTCTTCCGTTAGTACCTGCCTATAGCATAACAACACACAAAAGTGAAGGTCAAACGCTTAACAAAATTATTGTTGATCTCGTCACGCCTCCTGATCCAGTTGAAGTCGCATCAGTTTACGTTCCATTATCTCGTGTTAAACGCCTTGATGACCTCCTGATGGTGCGTTCTTTTGAATTCTCATCTCTATAAGTGAAACCGTCAGCAGCACAAGTAGAGGAACTCGATAGATTAGACACGATTGCAAAAAACACTCGAAAACGTTGTCCTTCAATTCTTTAGATAATTTGTGTCTTACTACCGTTCTAATGTAGTTATAGTCTATGAACAATGACACATTTATTATTTACAGCACAATTCATTGCTACCTGTTTTAAGCTTTGTTATCTTCGCAAAATGCGCGCTAAAATCGATCTCATATTGGAAAACAAAGTTTTCTGAGATCAATACGAACGGATTTAAACTTCTGCAAAACATAATGCATTGGATGCAAACTCAACAGAACCCTTCACTCTATCAGCGATATTTTGAACTCAGCAATGAATATCTTCCAAACTATTCTTCTGATTCGGTGAATGGATAAGTTTTGACACAAATTGTTTCTGAAACAAAGTGTCTTATTCACGGCAGCATATAGTACAAAATTTCAAAAACTGATCACGGATTTGAATTCCTCGACCCGAAAAATCTTGGGTCAAATTTTGTTTCACTTAGTTTAATGAATGAACTCAGTTCACCTCCGGCGCTCTAATGAACGAACGAACATACATACATACAAACNATTGGATACTGCAATCCAAAACTTACTAGACCACAGACGATAACGGAAAAAGTCTTATCCAAAATTTATTATCATAATATTAGTTGAAGTATGATCAAATAGCATAGAAAAATAGAGCATTCTTTTCTCTATCAGGCTTATATAGAAAGAAAGATTTTTAAAGCTTACTATATGGCTAAGTAACGCCGTGATCAGAACTTTTGGTACACCCTAAGTATATAAATAATACAGCCATTGATGATTTAAGTTTACGTAAAGCAATTCTCGAACTACCAGATAACACGACAGAGCACCTGCCTGGATACTTACCACTTGTACCGGAAATGCCCGTTTTACTCACGGAAAATATTGCGACTGAGCTAGGACTCTCCAATGGTACACGCGGAATATTTCGTCAGCTTGTTTATGATGAATGTTGTGATGATATTCATTTCGACGACACAGTTTTTCCAAAGCATACTAAGTTTATAACACTACCAAAATACGCTTTGGTAGAGTTCTCGAGCTGCAAGCTTGATTCTGTACTCAATGAGCTTGAAACAAAAATTATTCCTATCTCTATTAGTGAGAAAAGATTTCTCTTTCATATCAAAGAATTTCTTAGCGAAACTATTACAAAAGCTGCAAAGATTGCCAAACGAACAACAAAAATTTCAATAAAGCGTAAAGCGCTGCCATTAATACCCGCCTACAGCATAACAACGCATAAAAGCCAAGGTCAAACTTTGAGAAAAATTATTGTTGATCTTGTCACGCCTCCTGGCCCAGTTGAAGTCGCATCGATCTATGTTCCATTATCACATGTTAAACGGGTTGATGATCTTTTGATCGTGCGACCTTTGGAATTCTCATCTCTACAAGTGAAACCATCAGCAGCACAACTGCAGGAACTCAAAAGATTAGACACAATTGCAAAAAAAACTCAAAAAAGTTTTGCTTCATTTCTTTAGACGATTCATTTTTTTTATTAACGTTCTCATTTCGTACTAAGCTATGAACGATGACACATTTTTTATTCACAGTAGTATTTCTAACCGCTTCTATCAAGTTTTGCTGTCTCACGTGTTAATCATAATTGTATAACTAAATTATCAAAATAAAAGCTTCATGAATGCAATATCAGACAAAACAAAAGTCAGTTTTAGCAATCAGCTCCGAATTCTAGACTTACCTACGAGATATACAAGTGCTGGAACAGTATCATACTTCAGTATAAAGTCACATACAAATCCATAGCAAACAGCAAACTTCGTCTCAAATCTGCGTATCAAGAAATTGGTTTCTCAGATTGCGTTGGTCTGAGCTCCAGTTTCCACGATAAAGCATTGTCTTCAACGGGAACGATCAGCGAAATGCGAGCTAGATTGAACGAAGCACTGCAAGACCTCATATTGGAAGAAAAAACGAAAGCATTCCAGTGTTTTGAAAGCATCAAATGTCGCATGCAAATGCTACCGAAACCTTCACTCTATGCACCAATTCAGCGTTGTCATCTCAGATAATTTGCAAAGTTCCAAATGACTCCGCCGACTCTATAAAGTTTCAGCGCAACTTGTTCGCGAAGGAGAAGGTCCTACAACCAAAAAAAACAATACAAAGTGTTCACAAACAGTACCAGATTCGAATTCCTCAACCCCAGAAACCTTTGGTCAAACTTTATAAAAAAACAAGTTTTTCGTAAAAATATGCCTTTTTACAAAAAAATTCGATATGAAATTTTTAAAAACTAATTGCAGATTTGAATTCCTCGACCCCGAGAACCTTTGATCAAACTTTATAAAAGAAAACACTTTTTTTGCAAAAAAGCATATTTTTACGAAAAATCCGATAGGAAATTTTTTAAAACTAATACCAGATTTGAATTCCTCGACTCCAAAAACCTTTGGTCAAGCTTTATCTTACGTGTTGAAATGAATCACCCTGGTGCTACTATGACTGAACGAACATACGAACATACGAACGAACATACGAACGAACGAACGAACATACGAACGAACATACGAACGAGCGAACGAACATATGAACGAACATACGAACGAACGAAGATAGCTCACTCAGCGTATGACCCTCCTTTCAGTAGAGGGAATATCTTGTATCGTATGCAGAAGGGACGTTTGAAGCTTTGTTTTATCAGGATCAACGGTACTAAGCAGCTTACTCTTGCATGTGAAGCCTTAATATTTTATCTGTCCTGTACAACGGTGAGAAAAAACCAAGTGAAGACATGATATAGCGCATACTTTTATCAATCTACGATTCACTTTCTAGATTTCGCAATAATATGTAATCATGAGTAATTTAACTTAAACGGATGAATGCACATAAGTCATACTTAAATAGTGATGTTTGTATAAGCAGCGTAATTCTTTTATCTGCTGTATAGAACAACGTCGATACATTACATTATTATTCTTGTCTTCAGCAAACAAGTGTCCACACGAATACAGTGAGTAAGTGTAACTCTTTTGAAATCGGATTCTCTTCAGAAGGCATTCTTCATTATCATTATCTAATGTCCGCGCCAGAATAAAAGAGGGGTGAATGTAAGCTCAATAACTCGACAACCGCAATATCTAGCTACCTGCAGTTTTCACCAATCGAAAGAGGAGGAGCGGGCACGTCTTTTTCTTCGATAATGTATAAGACGAAATTCTTTTAAAACTAATCATATTTGAAAAACATACAAAACAACTCATGAAAATGACCT